CTTCAAGTCCTGTGCAAAAACGCATGATCGCACGGGCCCGCCCGGTGCGTTCCGGCCTGGGTTTTATTTATGTGCCCGCATGTGAACAACAAATCTTCTCATAGTATGTTCTACTCAGTCTGTTCCCGAATTAACATGTTGCAAACAACGATTGATTTCAACTTTGCCCCATCAGTACTTGTGACTTAGGCGTACATGATAGCTGAATTTAAAATCTTTAGCTCATGCAAGGGTGGAGAATATCCTTGTAAAATTTCAGCTTCCTACCTTTTTTGCTTCCGGAAAGCGTTCTGCCCCCAAAATTTGCTCATGTCTTTTTTGGGCCTCCGAAAGTGAGACGTAGGAGTTACGTAAACATTGATCTTAAAACGGGAAGTCACGCATGGGGTTCTAGCTTCCTAGTTTTTCTGACTGTTAAATTGAAAGTGGCTGGCAAAAGGTGGACATACGGAAACGAAAAAACAAACGCACACACACATGCACACAAACAGGCACACACACAAGAACACAACCTCCTAATATACATTTTCACATCTAGACAAGTATGCAAAAACACATAAAAAAGGCCAAGAGCGAAGCTTCTGAAGCTCGATCAGATCATTCCCAGGCTGTGTGCATGTTTCGGTGTGCTCAATAACACAAATGCGCTGCGGCACAAGTGCGCAGAATAAGTAGGTTCACGTAGGACACTAGAACGCTCTCGCATTCAGTTTTTTGCGTAACTGAAAACTCGTTAGCAGGTTATTCAACATAAGAATATCGGCGCAAGTTACAAAGCTGTGCACTTTATGAGCTTTTGCGAGCGGTTATTGTAAGTACATTGTGACTGAGCACAGAAGTACGCATGGAAGATGGGGCACTATTTCGTCAAAATTGATTTATGAACTTATTTCAGGCCTATGTATCAACTGCATTTCCAATAAATATTTTCATTCGCATATGCAATTATGTTCTGCGTTTAAACATAAAAATATTGATCGGGGCATGCTGGATATCCTAAAATTGGCTTTAGATTGCTCATTTTGCATTGTGTGGCAGATTAGCAGCAGTTACGTTATCAGCCTGAATTTGCGTTCAGGATTTCTGCCCAAAAAACAGGAAGAGTTTTAAAAATGGGTGTTACTGCATCTCCTGCTAAGAGTGACTTCCAGAATTTCCAAGCTTTTGGCTTTCATGTCACAGCATTGGTCACGATTTGAAATGACATCATTGATTAGGATACATAAAAGCCTAACTGATTTGAGGCATTCGTCTCTGTTTGTGGTCCAAAAGTTTCATTCAAATCTTTGCAGATTTGGCTTGAGAGACAAGCAAGCAAGCGCGATTTTCACTGCCGAGCTTCTCCGACTTGAACAAGAATGAACCGTTTGATCACAGAATGGACTTTTTCTAACCAGTTTTCAAACAGTTTTCAAAAATTACCAAGATGATCTGAAAGGCCCGAAACTTAAAGATCATTGTTAACTTTCGCATGGTCAATTTCGAAAAATACTTCCGTATACTGTTCAGATAAACTGAAATCCCTTCATCCAAAAAGTCAGATTTAAGCACCGATTTGCAATCAAACGACTTTTGCAAAATCTGATAGCACAATCGCCTCCAGAATAGTTTCTAAACCAGCACTGTTGATGAGCTGAAAATGAAAATAAATTTCTTTAATGGTAAAGAAGCTATTTATGAGCTATTTTACAGCCATAATCACCAAACAACCGGTGCGGGTAGCCCACGATAACGATGCACTCTTCCAAATAATAATCTGTTTTATCCGTTTGTTGTGCTTCATTCTCGTTACATCAGCAGTCTAGCTCTTTTTCCTGAAAAGCGTTATCTTATTGAGTTCATTTTCCCCAGCGTTTGGGTATAATAATTCATTGAAGGCGGCATTTAACAACTTTTGCTCTTCAAAGAGCATAACATTCCATATTGTGCTTCGTTCCAAGCAGCAGAGAAGCTAGCACACTGGGTTTGAACCCAGGTAACGACTCATCAGGCTTGTCGGTGCGTTTATGTGTTTTTGCATGGCTCCGTTCTGCAGAAAAATATGCGTTAGACTACGATTTTACAATTAGGAAATAAATTTAATGCACCTGCAAGTAGGGCCTATTTCTAGGCAGGAGCTCTTTTTGCGCTTGCTGGCTCATACAGGAATAGCAAACATCTTCAGGGGATATCTACATCCTACCTACTCTGTTTATCAAGTCAACTGAGTCCCACCGATGTCCCCAACTAGATTTTCATTTGAGTGCACGCGAAACCAAGGCTTGCTGAAGCTGAATTTGAAATATTTCGACAGCGTATTGGCATTCAACCCGCAATATCTTTGTAAAATTTCAGCTTCTTGGCTTAACCGGTTGGTGAAATCGCTTTTTGTTGCAAATATCTTTGACAAGTTCAAATGCGCAATATAGGCGCGAGCCGAAGATTATTTTATGCCCACTTGCCCGTACACGGACGACAAATATTTTCGTAAAGTTGTAATACTCTAATCAGCTCAGTTTCCGGCATGGCATTTTGCCAGCAATGATGAAATCTTAACTTTGATATGTTCGTGTCCGTGGCGTAGACATACTATAAAGCTGAATTTCAAACTTTTAACTCTTACAAGAACACAGAATATTCCTGCGAAATTTCAGCTTCTTATCTTGTCTGGCTTCTGAAATCGTTTTCCAGACAAAAAGTTTGCACAAGTTTTTTTAAGCCTTCGTACACGAAATCCAATTGTAAGTGAACAGTGTTCTTCAAATGCTTGAAAGGCTTTGTGAAATTTCATCTGTTTAGCTTCAGCGGTTGCTAAATTGAATGTGGGTGACAAAAATCCAAACACACATATTTACACACTCCAACAACCTCTCGAAAATATGCGTTTCTGCATTTGTATAAGATGCAAAAGTGCAAAATAAAATATGTTAATGCGGAACGTTAAAATATAGAAAATGTTTTAGAGCAACTAACTTCGAAAAAAAAGGAGCGGTTTGACCGTCTGAATTCTTTCTGCCGTTCAGTAACAATAGTGGTGTTCACTTGCAGTTGGTTATAAAGGCAAGGACTGAAATCTATTATTAAGCCGCAGCCCTGTTTTTAGGCCATCGATGTCTTTTGAGACGTAGAAACTTTCTCGCTGATGTTACGCAGAAACTTTCTCGCTGACGTTACGTAGAAACTTTCTCGCTGATTTTTATCCTTTAGTGAAATAATTACCACACTTTAACGCTTTATTCTTTCATAAGCAATTCTACCTAGTTTCGAAATGCGTCCGGGAACAAAACTCATTGGCATCTTAAACAGTAACGCACTAAGCTGAAGAAAAATGTTTCAGTGCTCAGATAATGAATGAAAGTGAGATTACGGAGTGCGCTGAAAAGAATGAAGCTTATGACGGCGCTCGATTTGCCCTGGTCGTTTATATTGGCACTCCCATTGCAATTGTTGGAATCCTTTTCAATGGAATACTGCTGGTAAACAAATATTTGAAGATCCAATTGTGCTACTTTCTGTAGCTTTATTATGTGCGATTCTGGATAACGGCCTTCAACAATGTTTACAACTTAATGCGCCGGAACATCTTCTTCCATCTTATACACTATATGTTATTCCTAATTCCTCTATCTTTCTTTTATTTTATTTCATTCACATTTATATTTCTAGTGCGTTCTCTAGCGGTACGGTTGTCATAAGATTTTTAACTGTTCCGGACCCTCGGAGTATTCTTGTTCATCGCTGTAAGCTAGCTCAAAAAGGTATAAGGAGTGCAGGGCCTTTTCCTGTCATTTTGCATTCTACAAATATGTATTTGCTTTTTGGCTATTTTGCGTACATCATAAACTTTACTTCATTATTACCCATTTCTCAGGCTGATAACGCTGCGTACTATTTAGCCGAACCGGCGGTGCACTAATTTATCTCAGGCAACTAGTAGCTGTTTGGTTGTGTTGTGCTTCGTTGCTTTCGAAACCACTGCTGCTCTTACGATGAGGCGCTTTGGATTAGATTCTAATTTGAATGTTTTTAGTTAATAGTACAAAACTAAACTGGGACATTTGTTCATTTACTTTTTTTCATACTTCTCCTACTACTCCTACTTTCATCTTTCTGGTTACTATATCTTCACTTGGTAGCATTAGCTACTTTCATTTTTCACTTCAGGCGTTGTTTTGCAACAAGAAATCAGTCCACTCGCACAGTTTTTATTTACTGTTTCTGGCAATATTTGATATGCTTATTTGTATGCTTTATATTCCGTTTTTCACAGTCGACGCGCTGGCTATTTATTATCAGATCAGTGCACTACACCATCTTTGGCACACCTATGTAATGCAACTATATGGCATGAGCAGGTTTGGTAAGCTTTCTACCCATTCGCTGATCAGGGAAAACTAAGCCAATCATGCATTAATTTTATAACCCAAGAATAAATAAAGTACAAGTTCAAAAAGTTTGGGAATTTGAATGCATACTGCGCTTTATTGAGCTACGGTTCTATCTTATAGTTCTAAATGGAAAACTGGAGACCATAAGGCACAGCCACATCCGAATCATAAGACTACACTGGCTTTGATAGGTTGTTAAAGGTCTTGGATGACGAAATGTATGGCCAAAGAAGATCTGCTACAGCTCTTTACTATCTTAACGTGCAGTCGCCGTTTTGCGCCGATAACTCAGTGAACACAACTTATGTCACGCCACGCCAGTCCCTATTCTGCACTTCACTTAACACCTAAGTAGCAATGAACGCGAGGTTTCCGGCGCGATCATGCATTTTCGCATTAAATTTGAAGCAGTTAGATCTTTAACAGCATGAATAGTTGCTGCTTTGTAGTTTAATATATGCACCCATACTGGTTGTATTTTGTTCGGTTGACAAGTATATCAGCTGGACGGCAGTGTTGCATCATAGGGCCGCATGAAATCTTGACCTCCAAAACACACGATTACTGCAAATTTTGCATGAACGGGAGTGGACTGATGTCACCGGTCATTCACTGGACACGCAAATCAAACAACGAGCGCGATGTGGAGAGAGGAAGAAACGAAAACAGAGTAAAACGCACTCGTTTTCGAGGTTAAAATAAACTAAGCATTTGTCATACTGGTTGACTGGAAGCGTCAATACTTGAGACCCAGTTGTACCTTAAAGTAGATTTTAAAACAATAGGTTGGCACATTTTGTGGGAATAAGCTTATAAAATTTCAGCTTCCTAGCTTTTCCGGTTGCTGAGTTGGTGACAAAGTTCATTCGCCTCGGAACACACACACTTACAAACAACCTCTCGGCAATATGCACTTTTGCGTGTACATAAAATGCGAAAGTATAAAAACGCATCTTAGCAAAGTTACATATGCATACATAAGTACGTGCGTTTGTTTCTTTCTGCCAAGACGATTCAGCTCCAGAACTACGAAATCTCAGGATTCGGAATTTAGAAGCACTGCTCCTAGCTATGTATCAGGAAGTTGAAATCAGCTCTGGCGCCTTCCTACTTCTTAACACATGAAATAAAGTTTCCACCTCTCTACTCGACATCAAGCCAGTACTGCTGCAAAAATGCAGAGTAACTCTAAATCAAGACAACCTGCGACAAAGCTGCACAACAACGTCTAGTAAGCGGATCAAATGAATCGTAATTATTGAAGACACGCAGCAGCTCATTGCAAAAGCGTAAGACTGCCCAGGGATCTCTGATACGCGTTGTGATGAAGCATTTCAGTGGTTTAAAATATTAACTGAAAGCTTTGCTGCGGGTCGCTTCTTTTAGGAAGAACACAGGACTTTTAATTTTTCTTTTAATTTCTCTCCTCCTTTTTTAAAGCGAACCCAAATTTTTGATTTGCAGTACAGTTTGGGGCAGTGTACATGATGCTGTGTGCGACCTTCGAGCGTTACGTCTATGTCTCGGGGAAGATGTCGCTACATTGGCTTGTTACGTTAGATGTTTAATTTGTCTCCATTTTTCGCTTTTTTCTTTTTATGTTCGAAAATAATGTATTTGCAGAATCTCTATAGAACATTAGAAAAGTCGCTTCCACTTCGAATTTAATTAAGTGGTAAAACAGTGGAAATTTGCGGCTTTGTGAAAGAGTGAAATTTTTAGCTGGTGAGGCTAAATTTGGGTAATATCCTGTTTTTCAAACCTGGAATTTGAATAGAGAATTTCCAGTTTACCTGAATTAAATAGAGAATTTCCAGCGACAGCGAACACGGATTTCCTTTTTGCTATGCTTAATTGCGATCTATAGTTTACACCACCAAATTATATCTCCCTTTATCAATACTATATTGTATCTCCTGGCAGACTTATGCTTTTGCATTAACATTTGTGTGCGAAAAAGTTTAGCACTGATTATACAGGTACTGAAAACCGAATTTGCAGCGATAGTGGTCGACTGGTGACAGTAATTGTTGTTTTAATAATTGCTTTTCTCGTCAGGTTACCTGCCTTTTTCGATTACAGAATTGCTCACAGCAGGGATTGCCCTCCATTTCAGGTCATCTTGAAATTTTTGTATTTATGACTTTCTTCAGCTTATTCTTGAGAAAATTCCGACTGGCGCTTGATGTTGCTGTTGCAACCGGAACGCGCTCATGCGTCAGAAGCAGTTGTGTAGGGCCTCGAGTTGCGTATTTCCAATTAATATGTAGCGCATATGCGCCATCTTTTTTTCAAAATTTCCTGCATTATAGTTTATTGTCTCGTGGTATGATTCACTGATACGCGACGTAACACAGCTGCTGGCAATGCGAATGACGTATCCTGCACATCTGATTTTACTTTCTCTCGTCACTTGTAATTCAATTATTTTATTAAAAACAGGAGAAAACCTGCCGTTTTCTGCAAGTTAGGTCGTTGTTAACTCAAAAGTGAACTCATTTCAGGACTACCTATTTATACCTGTGTTAACAAGTTACCCGCTGTATGCGCAGTATAATTTTTATATGATGAGCATCGTTCAGACTATAGCACCATTCATATTACTCACACTGTTTAATATCACTACTATATATTTGACACGTAAACGGCTCTATCATACACCGCTCAATGCACACGTGGAACTTCCCGGAATAACCAGTATGCTAATGCAGGGTTTGTAAACTTTTTCAGCGATGCATTTGAGCGATGAAGGAGTTTACTTTTTTTCTGCATTTATTAGCTATTCCTATTAACGGTCCGCAAATACAGCTAGCAGTGTCTGCTAAAATATGAACAATTTTTTCTCTCCAAAAAACGTAACTGAAAAGGGACGCTAATTCTTATTTTTTCCTGAGAGTATTTTTTAAGGTTTTGTGATTGATTGTTACCACACATGCATAGTTTTATTATCAAGAGTTAGTTGGGAAATAAAAAAGGTTGCTAGGCTTTTCACAAAATAGTTTTCTGGAAGAAATCCGGGACGGGGTAGATGACTACTAAGCATGTATAGGCAAAGAGTCTTCAACATCGCAAAAATGGAGCGGTCCGTCCTCAAATCGTTTCTCTTTTTGCACCGGCATCCTCATCCTGTTTCTCAAGCGACTACTTATATCGTCGGCGTTTTTCGGGGTCGCTATCCTATTTTTCACCTGCGCTTCTGAGCCAAAGGCCGTCATCCAAGTCTGTTTTCTTGAGCCGGCTGCAACTGGAGTCGACTTATACTTAGCAAACTGTTTTGCGATGATTCAGGAATCAGAAACCTCATAAGGTCAACATTTTCATAAAATGGAGCATGTTACAGTGCTGTGCAATAGAAAGTTCGCATACTCCCTCCTCACTTCTTTCTCTCCATTTCTGTTTTTCAATTGTGTGGTAAACTTCCTCTTCATCTCCATCATTAGCGGAACCATCAGTTCAGCTTCATATCAGTTGTTCAGTGGTATAAGGCTGCACTGATGATTCCACTCCTACTCACATGCAGAGCTCTATTTGTGTTTACTGCTGGGCAATAAAACACAGACAGTTTCTTCACATTCGTTGATATGACTTGTAATTGTTATGCTTGCATTCTGATATCCTGTGTCTGAACTGGATGCAGTACGCGTTTTACATTCATTTAGCAGATTTTAAGTTACTTTCTTCCCACTAGTCGAAAGATTATTTGATAGATTCCGCGACCAGTTTAGGCACATATTAATAGTACTTTCCGCCCACTGCAAATTCAGTATTGTCACAGAGTTTATTCATTAATCGTGCTCATCTTTGTTTTAGAGTCCGCGAATCGGAGGAGCCGTGAAGAGCTGAAATATGCTACGCGAACGATGGTCGCAATTGTATTTACTTACCTAAGCTGTAATGTTTTCTCGGTGTTCGTGTCTGTTGTAGAAAATGTTTTTCCGGATAGCTCGATACTGTACAACAGCGATGGCTCCAGGTGAGCTCATTCTCAGCTTTTTACCAAATGTCAAGTAAGAAACGTAACTGGCTATGCTTTATTTTTGTTTAACTGTAGCAATTAATTAGAGCAGCACTGTTAAGAATAGTTGCATTGGCTCTTCTCATTTTGTCACAGAAGGGAATGAAAAAAGTAGCTGACCGAAGATTTTAGTGAATACTGGGATGGCTGATGGAGAGACTGTCAGCTAATACAGTTGGATTAGAGCAATTTTAAAAAAGGTTGAGAAAGCCATCATTCTGTCTATTATAGTGGGCAATTTCGACGTTAAAACGCTCAACAACGCCCACACATTAGGTCTCCTAGACATCAGAGTTATCGGCGAGACCAAATAAAAGGGAAAGTTTTGCTTTAAAATCGACTAAATCCAGTACCTTGAGAATCATTCGGTAATTCGGTTACTTCTCATATACTAACATTTGAATAAGTAAAGGCATTATAATAGCTGTTAAGAGTTTTTCACTATAATGTGGCGTTGTGATTAATACCATTCATATATATGACACGTGCGGCTACAAAAGGATGACTTACACTTTCTAGGCTCCACCACACCACAGATCATTTTCTTCAGATGTTGCTTTACTAGCTGCATCCGTCATGAAGTAAAAAATTTATTTCAGCACAAAATTTTATACGATAACGGCAGATTTAATTAGTATATTGGTGGCACTGAACAGTCTACTGAGACTGGTTGTTTATTTTATGTGTAACCCACAATTCAGGAAGCGTTTCATGCAGCTTTTCCTGAAATCGAAGTCATCTTCAGCTTCTTTGTAAGTTTGTTTCATTATTCCTTTCGAAAAAGAATTGCTAATATTAAGAGATAAGGATGAGAAAAGAATTTTCAGATGAAATATATGATGGAAACGAAAGTCATTACAGGTCAGAAGTACGGACATGCAGTGTCGATGACAAGCGAAGACTTGAAGCTACGAGTAATTCTAACAGCGAATCAGTACCACTGACGGTGAGAACAGAGACAGAGAATGGTACTGCAACACAGCTCATATCCGGCGTATAATCCGGGGTCTTCTGGAGGATCGAAAAATTAGCTTTAGTCGGAAAATCAAATCAGTCCTACTACTCATTGCTTGTAAGTGATACGAAGCGGCTAAAGCAAAACATCAACGATTTGTATTTATCGGGTTGAATAAAATGTGTTGTGCTCTGATATGATCCTTATTTATCGGCGATTTGTTGATTTTTTGAAAATCCTTGCGCGCTTTTTTTCAGTTTTTTTTTTT